GGGGCTGTCCATAAACAATGCCCGCACACAGCTACTCACCATAGAATCTGTCAAACAATCGGGACATACCTGCAGTACCTTTTCATAACTTAATGGATTTTTCACCTAATGTAATTTAATATTCTTGACTAGAAAATTAGAAGAATGTAAATATTAAGGGATGCCTCTCATACAATTGTCAATGTGGTGATCATTCCTGCTGTAAAGGTAGTTTGGGTTTCCTTAACAAAGAACCACAAACCTGTCTACCACGTCCATAACATCCCTGAGACCCAACTGTATTACCAGAAAGCAATTTCTATATGTGTAGCTATACAATATAGTGTATTTTGAAAAAATCATCATTTCAGTACATTCTTACTGCATATATAGAATTTGTAGCTACTTTGAATCTGTTTACTGTATTATGTAGGCCAATTACCAAAACATCTGCTTATTAATTTATAATAACTGTAATAGATAGTGTAATACAGGAAATGATAAGACGTTAAACCACAGATAAAAACTTTCCATAAAAAAATGTGCAGCTGTAACCACAAAATAAATGCACTGTTTATTTCATATGGGGATTCACTTCAAGAAATGTATTTGTGGGTTTTTTCAAACTATATTCGGCGCTGCTGCTGGTAAATGTTTTTTTTTCTAGATAATGTTTATTTCCTTCCGTGACTCTTTGTTGCCTTGTGATCAAGCGTTTGACACTTTCAAATCGAACTATGCATTTTTTAATCTGACTATCTTCTGAAGAGTGCTAAAGCTAAAAAAACGCTGACAACAGGCAAATATTTTTAGACGAAATGTAGAAGATTTTCAGTTGCATTGCAAGTGCTTTGCTATGGCTACGCTAAATCAGTTCATGTGCAATCAAAGTGGATTAACCTGATTTCATCTGTCTCTGTATGTTCCATCAGAGAGACATTTAATTTCACATCACAGTTTATAAAGTGATACAATGAGTTGACCATGAAGGCCAGGCACCTTTTATTTTAAAACATATCAGGGAAAATGTGTTAGAGAAGTAGAGATAAAAACTAGGTTATTTATTATTTTGAGTACAGTTAAGTTATTAATGTGCATTGTAACACCCTTCCACACGGAGCTGGGCAGGAGGAAACTGGTAAGGAATGTCAGCGGAGTCTTTTGAAGAAAGTTCTTTGAAATGGGAGTCAGGCCCTGACCTGACTTGAATCCAATATAAAGTTTGTAATGAGGCTTGACTATTGCAGTCCATCAACTCTCCCTACCACATCTGTCAGAACAGGGGTAATTATTAAGAACAGATAAATGTACACAAACCCACTGTGTTAAGCTCCTAGAGACCTGTCCAGAACTACTGACAACCATAATTGTTGCTTCCATCCAGTACTGACCTAGGGGGCCTGATATTATAAAAACTCTTGCAAGCACTGCATATCAGAGAGCACATCCTCCACAAAGTATTCTAAGTAAAAATGGGGCTTTAAAGGCAGGTGTGACACTTCAGTGTCTGTATGTTCTATAGTTTTCTATTGACGAGGGAACATTTACTTTATGTGTCTAGACAAATTTGTCTACAAAGGTATTCATACCCTTAATGAACTGTAACTACAGATTGATTAATGTAGGTGTGCAGCAATATATTTCTTGGATTCTAAACTATATCAGGATATTTTAGCCAAAATCGTGGGTACGAAGGAATTCAAGCTTGGTTGCAAATGGGTGTTCCTGCAGAATATCAGATCCAAGCACACCTACAAATTTGCTGCCCAACAGTTAAGGGAGCATAACCAATGTTCCTGATTGGCCAGCACCTTGTCTGGACACCAGTCACAATTGCAAAGTGAGCTGAAGGACGCTCAGATGTCATTTGAAGGTGGCAGAGAAGCTCTGCATGGATTAGTGGCCAACAGTCCCTGAAGCAATTAAAAGGCTGCAGGAAAGCCTTATCAAATTAACTGTCATCTAAGCCAGTGGAGGATCAACAAATGTTTGCAGGGGTGTTAATAATATTGGACATTGTATATTTATATGTGCTTTTTTTGGACAGATTTGTTTTTGAGATTTCCAATACTGATGGGTAAATTTTCATTTTTCATTTTTGCTAAAATCCAACTTTCAGCTACTTTGCGTAAGGGGCATGAATTCTTTAGGAGGCTATGATATCTGAAAGCGCTGGAACTATAGAGTAAGACATCATAAACCGTTGTAACCCATGGGTTTCCGTAGTTCATAGGCCACTACGAGGGCAGCCATTTCCTTTACACGAAAGTAGGTTCACTTGAAAGACACAAAATAACATATCAATTGTAAGCGTAGCAGTGAAAGTAAACCTTTGCACAACAAGAAAGTTACTGAAATATTTTTTTCATTTACCTGCCAGTAACATTATGTAACTGGAGGTACTTTACCCTATGTAGGCCTAGTGTTGTATTTTTTATAGCAAAAAAAATATATATTCTATTCCTATTATCCTATTTAATTATATTCCTAAATATCCTATTTAATGTCATTTAGGTTCATTGCCATATTTGCTTGGGGTCAATATGACAAATTGGAAAATTATGGCCTTTTTTCGCTGAATGAAAACATTGTAGTAGATGCAGTCCAAAGTCACCATGCACTTAGGTGATGAATCTTATCTTTACTGGATATGCAATTCAAAATCACAACCTTCTTTGACAAGGCAGCTGAGGAGTAATCTTTCAGGTTCAGTAGCTTGGTAACTCTATAAATATCTTGTTTTACTGTAAGCATATTTATAAAGACCAAGGTTCAGAATGAGAGGAGAAGTTGCTATGAAAGAGTCAGAACTGATTAATATACGTAATATAAGTATACCACAATTCATAACAAGATATGCTTGGATGTCCATACAGTACTCGGCCAGTTTCCCTGCTGACTAAATATACTGTATCTGAAGCAGACCTAGTCATCTCTTCAGATGGTTCTGCTTACTAACATTGTGAAATGAGATTGATAACTCAAATACTGTACGGAACACATCCATACTGAAAGAGAAATTGTAATAATCGAGCCAGAACTACTAAGAAATTGGTACATTTTGGGTGAACATCTTTCAACACCAGCTGTGTTTATTCTGTATGCTACAGTTCACCCTCCTCCAATACCTGAGGAAGAATGGATAAATAACTGAAAAAGAATGTGTTGATGTTGTGTTCAAGGTTTAAATCTTTACAATTACACATTTCACAACTATAAATTTGTTGTTGTTGTTCATTACACTGGAGTTATACTTTATTTCCAACACCTGAAGGACTTTTTTCCATTACTGTTTTTTTTTTATGATTACTGTACATACAAGAGGAGGCCATTCAGCTGATGCAGCCTGTTTAGTAGTTAGTAATTTAATTATATACGTGTAAGGATTATTATTTATTTAGCACTTTTCTGGACACTCCACCGAAAGTGCTTTCCACAATCACCAGTGTTGCAGCCTCACCTGGATGATGCGACGGCAGCCATAGTGCACCAGTACGCTCCCCACACACCAGCTCTCAGTGGGGAGGAGAACAGAGTGATGATTAGAGATTATTAGGAGGCAGGGAGAAATTTGGCCAGGACACCAGGGTAACACCCCTACTCTTTTCAAGAAACGATCTGAAGTTACTCTGAAGATCTCTGCCACCTGTGTGTTGAAAGAAGCTGAAGTTTCTGCTTCAGCAACATGGTTGGATACTTTGATCCAGACTCGGAAAACCCTGTGTGTAAGAAAGTGGCTCCCATTCGGAGTATTAAAAGCACTTCCATGTTATTTCAGTTTGTGTCGCTGTTTATTCAACGGTTACTAAAATTTTGGGTCGGTCTAGCTAAATCACAAATTGATTTGGCTGACGGATTTATCCAAAGCAACTTGCTTGTCGCATACATTCATACCCTGGGTGTTGTACTGGAGCAATTTGTGTTTATTTTTATTTTATACGCTTATCTGTCTGCAGTTGGCGTTGGTTTAAAGGAAACATTCCCGTCATGGAACATCTGTGCATTACAGAATAGTTTCAGTTCGAGCTGCACCTTTGCTTCATCCCACGGAAGGAGAGACTTTCCGAAAGGTTGGCGAAGTCCTTCAGACAAAGGGTCTGGAACAGTGCCACCGGTACGTGCTCCACATTAGCAAGAGTTTTTCTTGCTTTTAAAAAACGTGACATTTAAGAAGTGTGAAGTTTCTGTGTGGGCTTCACGAGTCATGCTTACTCTACAAAATGCCATGGGGAAATTGCTCATGTGGCACTTCTGATGGACCTGACAAATATTTCCTAAAAAAAAATATGTAACTTCCCTTCAAAAGAAAAACATCATTCTGGTCCGAAAAGCTTATCTGTGACAGACATGGTAGAAAAGAAAAACAGGGAGTTCACTCTGACTAACAGTCTCGGCTTCTCAACCTGTGGCACCTCCAATCCACTCTTTTGCAACACATGAGTCTAGCCAGCTTCTTAATTGCTGTATTGATCACTTTAAGAATCAATTAATTCATGAGTGGATTACAGGGGCCAAAGAGTGAGAAGCACTGGACTATGGGTGAGGGGAGAGTGATGGAGGGGGTTAATCAGGGCTGAGAAAGAGGCACTGAGGTTCCAGCAGGAAAAGAAAGCTCGAGTAAAAGAAGTTCAGAAGCCATGTGGGTGGGCTCACACACAAGAACTCTGAATTTAGAAGTAGGGTGATCTTCAAAACCACTCTGTCTAGACACCCACTAGACATTACTGATTGTACAGTGAAAACAGAAATGAGGTGATATAAGGGGCTTTAAATTCAACTGCACAGATTGGGATCATCACATTGAAGCTCCAGCACTGAAACTTCGGTGGTCAGTGTGGTCCATGACTGGTTTGCTGTGGCATATTCATTTCCAACACTGGGTCCTGAACAGCAGCAAACAGATGAGAGAAGTGCAATTATCATCACAGCTAAGGAATATAAAATGACATTTATTTCATGTCTTTAAAAAAATATGCACATGTGCATTTTTATGCTTTTTTATGAAAATTATTCCCCCCCTCCCAATTCCCAAGATTTTGTAAAGTATTTGTATGACAAATTTCTCACTAAAATTTGTCTGCTCCTCTTTTATACTTGCATTACTTTTCTTAATATTAATACTGTTGCTGCCCATTAGTACAAGGAAGCACATGTTCACCCATGAAAATCCTTCATGCAAAAGTGCACAACAGATGCATCACGTCCACCCCCTCACACTCTTTCAGAGTGCTTATCCATCAAAAAAAGTCATCTTAAAAAAGCAGTGACTGTAAAATGTTTCTAGTCTTATTTCCTGGCTTTTGCGAAGGCACTGTCTTCCCGTAATTGTCAAATAAAAGTAGGTCAACACAAATGCCTACAGACTTCAAGAGAAGTGGACACAGAGACACATTGTGAACAGCGGCTTCCTCTTTGAAAAATCTGGTTTACGTCCTGGGAAACCAGAAATCGACACCTTCAGCGAGCAGCCTGTGACTTGAATGTGCTCCGCTCAGTGCGTCTGGGCAACCCCTGTTCTCGTCGAACCCCAACAGGAATACCACAACCAGCTGAAGTCGCTCGTGCTCCACCTACAGCGTCTGATACAAGACACACACCAAGATGATTAGTGGAGAAAAAAATACAAATTATGAATTGGTTCACTTGCCTCCCTGCTTTGACTCCTATGTCTGAATGAGGGGGTAGGAGGCTGACAAGCACACACTAGTCTGAGCAATCTATCATAGTTTTCGATCTGAAACGCCCACTGTGTCTTCAAGCAGAGTTAGCATCTTTGGCACAAGAAGCAAAGGATCCCCTGCTTCAGGCAAGGTAACTCAACACTTGCCGAGGCACAGGGGATTGTGCTGCTGCAGGAGTCACAACCACTACAGCTGCCCTCCAGACAAGAGCTTTTCCTGATCGGCTGTTATGTTCCAAACTCTTCACTCCCATTTTCCCAGTTGGCTAGGCTGTAGAAAACAAACAGAAACGAAAGGGACTGAGGACAGGGGAGAATTACCTGATGCGTCAGTGCTTGGAGGGAGTTGTACTCCATTTTGGCCTTCTCTGTCCTCACCCAAGAAGGCTCATCAGGGATGACGAACGCTATGATCATCTTCAGAGCAATCAGGCAGTGCTGTGATACAGGCGGGGGAGGCAGATTCTTAAATCGACAGAATTATACCCAATGCAAAAAATACCTAAAGTATGATCATCTGATTAAATAATAAGCCTTCCAAATCATGTTTAATAGCAGGTTTAATGCATTTTAAATTGCGTTAAACTGCCATTGCGAAGAGCATTTGAGACTACTTGTAATCTTTTGCCAGCCTCTCAAAAGGGTGATCAGAGATTCAACAAACTACAATATTTTAGACAATATTTTAAACCTATGAGGTACTTCCACAGCCGAGCTCTGTCCCCCTCTTGACGGGTCAGAAGTTGAACCCAGGCTGGATCGGGTCAGTCCTGGAAAAGGAGGGGTCTAAAAACAAGATGGCCCGGATAGCTTCCGGGCAGCACTGTGAAGACTCTTCAAGACCTTGCCTTCCCTTCATGCTGTGGGAGCCCTTCGCTGCTATAAGCACTTTGCCACCACCAGCCAGACAGGCAGAAATAGTGATTCCATGTTCTTTATGCAGTGCCTTGCGTGTTGCTGCTAGAAGTGATGCTGGTGGACCAGTAGGGGGCAGTCTTCTGCCTAGACCAAAAATATTCAAGCCAACGGTGTGGCGAGAGGGGGAACTGTACTTTAAAATGTGGCATTGCTGTGATGTAACCTTCTACCAGGGTACTCATTCCCATAAAATTACTTTAAGGAACTTGTGGAGCGTTGCTCAAGAAATGGGGTTTGGAAAACAAACTGGACTACATGAAGCCCCCTGCCATGGTTTGGGTTCCAGTCTGTTTTGTGCTGGGTACCCGAGTTTCTTTTTTTCAGGTTCAGCTGGGCTGGTGGCCGTAAAGAGCAATTGGATCCTGGTGCTAGCCATCAAACAGCAGCAGTGTCCGTCTCCTCAGGTCAGCGCCGCTGGAGCAGCCTGATCTCCCTGCCTAACGTCAGTCCAGTCCAGGTAACAGCTCTTCTGAAAGGAGTTCTCTTTGTTATTCAGTTCAGAAAACCATAAACTGAATCTGTGGGCGCTTCCTGACTCGGATCATGCAAGATTGCTGTGAGGGATTTACCATATCACGTGTAATATCCTACACAATGGGTTGGTGCCAAAAAACAGTTTTTTTTTTGCCTCTCAAGAAGAAGAGATCAAGCTTTGTCAGCATGTCTTCTTAGAGTGAACAGTAAAAACAAACCACTGTGGAGATCCTACCTCTAGGAATATGGTGACCAGTAGAGCTTTGCCCATACTGATGCCACTTTCCTGGCAGTACCCCTGGACAGGAGTGGACAGGAGGATGAGGCAGCAGTTTGATATCACAGAGACGAAGCCCAGGACCTCGAAGGCTCCCTGAGAAGACAGCAGAAAACAGAAGAATGAAGAAAGGGGGAGGACTGATGGGCCACATAGTCACCATACCTCACTGAGCCAAACCTATGTGACTTTTCACACCTCTGTGAAGGAACAAGCCAAAAGGGTGATTCAGGAAAATTCTGTTAGCAAAAGAGATATTTAATTGCTGAGTTTAACCCAGATCTGGGCTTCTGAAAACTTAATTTGAGTTCACATCGATTAGTAGTCAGCCTAGATCACTCCTACCACTGTATTAAAATCACAGCATAAAAAAGCTGACAGGCAGATGTCCTCTTAAATACACAGTCAAACTATCTAGCTCTGAGCAACAGCAGACAACAGCAGGTCCATGAACTGTATGAGCAGGATGCCATGTATAAGCATCCTCCTAAACATCACTCCCATATGGGGAAAATCTGCCAATTATTATTAGGAAATTCTATCCATCCATTTTCTAACCACTTCATCCAATTTCGGGTACAGGGGAGCCAGAGCCTATCCCAGCAAGCAGCAAGCACAAGGCAAGGGGCAGCCTGGATGGGATACCAGTCACGTACCAGGAACACCTGGAGGAAACCCAAGCAAACACGGGGAGAACATACAAACTCCACACAGATAGCACGCAGGGCCCCAGGGCTCCAGCTCTGTGAGGCAGCAATACTAACTACTGCACCACTACGTTCCCCAGAATTTCATACTGTACATGCACAGCTCATATAATCACTAGATCCTTTCTATAAAAATACATTATTTCGGATTTGGATCGTACACACTTGTGTTTTTCTGCTGTGAAGCATGCAAATCGGTAATCGCGCTGTCCCACCTGCCAGACTCCAATGCTGGTTACAGGCTCTGCAAAAGGCTTGCGAAACAGCCTGCAGATCTTCAAGGCATCAGTGCGAATCTCAGTGATGTTGTTCAGCAGCAGCAGGATGGCTGTGAGAGGGTAGACGCAGGAGAACAGGCTCAGGTAGCCAAACTGCACGAAGAGCTCGATGTACTCGCCAAACAGCCCCTGCGAGACAGAAGAGGTCTGAGCACTGAGCAGCAGAGCCTGTATCACGCTAGTGAACATATACAGTACTGTTACACATCTGGCAGGTGCAGTGGAGACCCCTGGTGGTTCCAAATGTTATTATATAGCATGTTAGTCAATGCACATGTACTGAAGTCCTTTAATGCTAGTCGTCCTTCAAAGAAATTAGGTACATATGCTTCATGCAGCTGTGTACAATGTCAACATCCTGCACACAGATGGGAGCCAAACTACAATGATGTGGCACCTTGTTGCATGTGCAGCCATTGTCCACTGGCGTGTGTACTCCATGGTCCCAGATTTTACTGCTCCAGAGTACACAGTGGTGTACAGCTGTTTGAACAGGCCAACTGCCTTTATCAGCACCCCATATAACACTACTGTCCAAACCTGCTAATCGTGAGCTGAATCTTTAGCAGTGGCTCCCTGGCTCATAAACCAGCAGTACTGATCTCCAGCACACAAGGTAAACATTCAAATCGTCTTGACAAGTCCCATCCACTAAACACAAGCAGGCTTCCATTTGCAGCAAATCAACAAGGTCTTGGGCTAAGTCTAACCCAAAAGTTTAAAATTTAACATGAAGTCTAAGCAATCTAAGCAACAGTCCAAATAAGTATTATAACCTGAAGAAACACTAATATTGTCCCCAGTCTCACTGTGGCCGTTTTTGATTATTAGAAGAAAGTAAAATTTAATATATGAGTCTCCTATGTTGATTTACCAACTATCACTCATAACCTCTCCAATTGTACTGCTTTCGGAATTAAAAGAAGGCATTAAGCTGTATTACACTTGGGCAAGTTCCTCATTAGGCTGTGCTGTGGTTTGTATGACTAGACAGTTATCTAGTGTTCAGAGATCCAGTGATATTTGTAAATCTAGGAAGGAGTGTCACTGCTACCCCCAATCCTTTCTATTGACTGTGACTCCAAACTTTTGAACTGTTGAAAACCCAAATGAAAGTCATAACTGCTTAATCCGGCCCTATTCTTGTCTTTTGCAAATCTTTAAACTCTGAAAACTACTAAACAAGTAGTTTCATGAAATTAAAAACACTGATATATTACAATAAAGGTTCAATCCAGTCATTGAGAGCTCAGTTACAAAGCCAGAAGACTACAAGCCCCTGCGAACTGGAAATGAGATGTTCTGATTTGGAAAAGAGAAACCCGTTAGTTGCGCCACTGCTCAGAGTTAGAAATGGAGCCATCTGAGGTGTTGCTCTGGATCACTATTTTTGTCGGCACAAGATATTTAAAGGCAAATCCTTCTGGCAAGAACAAGTCCCCAGAGCTGGCCAATGAGTACTGTAGCAATAAATCACAGAATTGAAACCCCTCCCTCTTTTCCGTCAATCCTGAGTGGAGACCAGACTCACGGGAAAGGCGGGCAGGGAGCCCTGCGCTCGCAGGCGGTCCACCAGGGGATCATCCTCACTGAGCTTCTTGCCCTGGCCGGCAAACAGCTTGTCGGTGACGTAGGGCACAAGCACCTCAGTGCACTGGTTTAATATCTGAGAGACGATCAGCAGGGAGGCCAGCCTCTGCATAGATACAAGATGAGAACCGGGCTGATGAGGCAGCAGCGGCAGTAGGCTATGGAAAACTGAGCCCCTGAACACATGTACAAAGGTACATGTAGACAGAGCTTTAAGAGAAAAAGATAAAAGGAATGAATTACGTTTATTTTTAGGTGCTCACTTTTAAAGTATTCATACCAGTGGATAAACAGTTTTAAATGGCATATAATGATGTGTGTAAACATCAAAGCAAGACAGTGTTAAGAACATGTAGTAACTTAAGTGAGATCCCCTCTTGGTCCTGTATATACATGAAAAAATGCCTGTCCAAAGTCCAAGGTGTGAATACCAAGGAGACTAGAGGATGCCCAGAGATGTCCTTTGTAATGTGTGTAAATGAGGAACGACCTGTGTCATTCTTCATGTGTGAAAAAGAAGAACGAGTCACTGTGATCTCGGGAAGCAGTGGGATATACCTTCCGGAGGAGCTGCAGGTCCTGCCTGAAGAAGGCGATGTGGAACAAAACTGCAAAGCAGTTGAAGAAGCTGAACTGGAAAAGAAAAACGAAGACAAGCTGAGCGACTCCGACAGGCACCAGGTGTGGTGCAAAGAGGCAGGAAAAAAATAAAAGGTCGTACCTACCACCAGCACTTTGACAGTATGATGGTTCTGAAATGAAGACTCCACTCTATGATTCTCTAGAGGAAACAAATTGTACATCACTGAACATGACAATGCCGGCGACGTCAGAGTATTTAAGCCATTTAAACTCATTAAAAATTCATGCAAGTCCATGATATCTCAGGTTCAATGACAGAACTCACATTGCCAGGGGGTTTCAGAAGTCAGTGGCAAAAATGTATTATTTGTTTTGTTCTTCAGCCTGAATTAAAGCTTAGTTGATACTTCATTTAATTGTATTATTTACAATAATTAAATTACCGCCTTTGAAAATACCCTCTTTGAGTTTATATATTCAATATTTCAGTTATACCATATCTGTAGCTAAAAACAATTTAAAAAGCAGTTCATCTGAGTTCCAGAATTGCTGCCTGAACTCAAGGGAGGACAAGTTGCCTTTTTGCTGTTGCTGATACTCCTGTCAGATGAGATTTATGTCCACAGACGTAGATCTGACACCCACAGTCCAGCAGAGGGAGCCAAACACTGCTGGCTGTGTTGTTGTTCAGTGAAGTAACAAGGCATAGACGAGGCTTTAACAGAACTGGTAATACAGGATACTTTGGTGTTGATGGGAAACCAATAGAACAAGTTTATTTCCGCCATTCTATCACAAAAGTTTTACAACCCTTACCCCATTCAGTCAACATCAGTGCCACAGTCCTGTAGATCATGCCCAGTACGTTCACATAGAAAATGTGTGTGATTGAGGGCAGGTAGAGCAGGGGCGATGTGAGAACGGAGCCGTGCTTGCGGTGAAAGTCACTCACAAGAGCTTCGAATTTGTAGAACCCCACCATTCCTGCCACCACCAGCAGCAGGAAGGAGCACACGACCGGGACCGACCCCAGCCAGATCCGCAGCTTGCGCCTCCAGCTGGGGTAATAGGGCTCCAGGCGCCCCGTCACTGGGTTGTGTCCCAGGGTGCCCCAGTAACTGGGGCGTGGCTCGCTGAAATGGGTGGTAAGGTACAGCGTCCCCCATCGGTGAGCCAGTCCAGAGCCCCGGCGCTTCCAGTACTCCAGGACCACGGTGGACCACAGCATGTTGAAAACCGCCAGCAGGATGTAGCCGTTCATGGACTCCCAGGGCAAAAGAAACAGGACTAGTCCAATGACCGCAGGGGGCAGCAGGCAGAGGATGTAAAAATCAAGGAAGCTGAAATAAAACGCCACCGGCCCACCAAAATAAGACTGGATGGAATCTGTGCAGAGAAAGAACAGTGGCACACTGAGAGCTGAGGATGACTAGGCACTGGTGCATTGAGGCCGAAGAAGATCAATCAGCAGCGATAGCACACAGACAGTTGTTTAATTAGCATATCTGACTTGACTCCTACAGGCTTCCCAGCAAGCTGCATAAGAAGGAGTGGATATTTCAATACTTCAGTACTTGGTTTTTAATTGTCTGATAAGAGGAGCTCAGAGCAGCATGGTGGCACAGTGATTGGCGTTGCTGCCTCACAGCCCTGGGTTCAAGGGTTCAATTCCCTAGGTTGCTGTCTGTGTGGAGTTTGTACGTTCTCCTCATGTTCTTGTGGGTTTCCTCCCACAGTGCAAAGACATACTGGTAGATTAAATGGCCCAGGGCACATGTGTATCTGTGTGTGCGCTGTGATGTACTAGTGTCCCATCCAGGAGTGGGCCCTGTCTTGCGCCTGTTGCTTGCTGGGACAGGGTCTGGCTCCCCCGCAACCCCCAAGTGCTTAAAGAAGGGGTGGATGGAGAGATGAGCTCGATTTAAAAAATGCTAAAAATGTGCTGCGTGGCATGTCTGACAATCGATCAGCAAGGACTGGCGGTGCCCATACCCAGTGGCTGGCCCCAGTACCGGCTGTTGGAGTACCAGGCCTTCGCCAAGGCATCCAGCTTCTGCTTCTCGTGAAGTGGGTACATTTGCTTTATGACTCCTATTTTCTCCAGCTTCTGAACTGCAGAAGAAAACATAAATCAGTCTCAAAAGGTCTTCCCAGTGCAGAACAGCCCAATAACATTCATGTTGTTTTATGGGGATCTCCTTGTGGTGTGCACCACCATGACTCAGAGACTATACGGTGCATTTGTTAGACCTCATGTAAAATATTTTGTGCATGGTTTTTGTCATCACATTACGAAAAGAAAATTCAACACCAAACCTTGTACATAGTGATCTGTGAACAGTTAATGGATTGTTAATTGTTTGTGGAGTGAGCAGTGCTGCAGGATGGGCTCTTGTCAGTCTGCCTTGTGGTGCGGGACTATTTACACTTCTGAAAAGCCCTCTTACCTGCTGTGCTTGATGGTCTATAAAATAGTCAGTCACTGTATGTATTTGCATGGATGTGTTTTACTGTGCCAGAGCTTAATGAAGGTACCAATTCTTTAAAGACTACTTCACATTAGAGTGGCAGTACTAGTGTTCTTGGCTCTCAGTGACACAGCGCCCCCTGTGGCCTCCTGGGTGCCTGCAGGCATGTGGTCCTGTCAGTGAGTGACATCTCTCATCCCATCGGCGCTGCTCCTCTGGACATGGCTATGCAGCCTGGGCTATGTTAAAAGATCCTGTGTGCGGTCAAGGGGTGCATAGCTGAGAGCCAACACAAAAAAAACACACGACTGTCTACGCCAAGTCAGGGGGTATAATTCTGCACTGACAGAAATAAGCTCCTAGCAGAGCAGCTGTAGCTCATACAGTCACAGCAGTCGAGACTGTATGAGAGACCAGGCAGCTGGCACCGGAACATTAGGTGAAACTATGCTCCAGGCACCTCAGATCCATTAGTGAACTGAAATGGACTACCCCATTCTCTCTTTTCTAAGAAGTCAAACATGAATGGCAAAAAACATCCCAAATTCCCAAACAGAGACTCTCATCTTGCATCACAGAGGCTCCCATTCCATTTGTTTTGGGATTTTTTTTAAATAAAGCGGCACTTACATATTGTTTGTCTGGGACGCAAAGTTCCTTTCTTAACCGGAACACCTGGTATGGAATCGGCCTGAGGTGCTTTGACCGAATTCAGCTCATACTTAACGATGTACTGCTTTTCTGCCAGGGTCAGGAACTCTTCCACGTCATCTACGGTGACAGAAAAGAGCTGAATCCACCCATCCGAGGGAACAAGCCGTCTTCCAGGAGGGGTTGTACATTAGTACGGTACCTCAGCTAAACACAAGTCTTAGAGCAGATATTATTGCCTCTTGGCTTAATAAACAGCAGTAAGTGGCACAGAATGAATGAATTATACTTACATGCTCGAGGTCAACAAAAACTAGTTTTCTAGGTGTGTTGTGGTATGTTACCTCCACCTCAAATTTGAACCAATGTCACACCAATCACACACTCCATCAAGTGCTAAATTCACTCTATCGTGACCAGTCCCTTCCTTTGAGGAGTTTACTTGGTTCTAGGAGATCTGTGGGTGGACGTCATCTTTACAGTCTTATTTAATAATAAATTAAATAAGTTTCCAGTGACCACACGGGCCAGAGTTTTCTAGAATTGGGCATCTGGAGGTGTGTCTGCATCGGCAGTGAAAATATGGGGTCTGACGATAAAACTGCAAATGTAAATGGCATATCGCTGGTTTCGTTTCGTGATCTGCAAATTCATTTCAAATTTAAAACAAAGTATTGTCCACAATTGTTTCTTTGTAGACCATAAAACAGTCCTGGTCCCGGAGTTTCCCAGCCCGCCCAGGGAAATTACAACCCCTAATGGCTCATGATCCGGTAGCCAGGTTAATTTTGACCCAGTCAGTCAGCAATTGATTGAATTGAACAGTTAAGAGCTGAGATACAGTGAGATCTGACCACCTTGTGGCTCTCTATCACCAGAAGTAAGCATCACTGCCTTCGACTAAATGACATGTGGGAACAGAGGCAAGGACCCCCAGATAAGTTCCCCCTCTGCTCCCACCTGTACATGCTATTGATTTTCAGAGAACACCCCCCTGCTGTTGTGAATGACCATCAGTGCCCAGTCTCTCACCTGCACTCATGAAGTTAGCTCTGTCCTTGTAGGAGAAGATCATCATGCTGCCATCATTGTAGCGCTTGGCCAGGCCCAGATACTCCGCCGCCTGGAGCAGCGTACAGCGAGGGGCTGAGACCAGGATCATGTCTCCATCATCATCCTCGCCAGGGTGAGCCAGCAGCTGAGCTCCTTAAAAAGGGGATGGAGCCAGGAATTAAAACTACCAAACCAAGGGTGTTGGAAAGCATAAACTTTTTACAGCTTAACAGTTTTATTTAAACAATACGTGAGATAGATGCATTCTCCGTGGATTTTGAAGTGTGACTCAAAGACCGAAATGGTAGAAATGGTAGAAATATGACATGCATAACATAAGAAATATGAAAAATAAAAAAGATACAGGATATCTGTACATAATTACAAGAGGAACACAATTATGACATGGAAACTGAGCAAAATGTCAGACAAAACACCTTAGTATTATGAATAATTTCCAATGCGTTCATTAAGCACAGGTTCAGACTGTGTACAGTAATTGATATGTACACCATGGGTGGCTCTTGCACACAGAGCCCAGTCCTGATTCGCCAAAGGAAACGTCAGCCTCTCTCACCTCCGTCCTTTGCGTGAGACTCAATCTTGGAGATGATCCATTGTTTGGTGGCAGGTTGGACATTCTCTGCCAACTCTATGACCACCAAAGGCTGAACGGTAGCCGAATCGCAGCACCGGCAGGTCACTGGAGTCCAGGAGCTCATAGTCAGCGGTCAGCTCCTGCGGAGAATTGAGGAAACACACAGTAAGGCCCTGGAATTCAGCATATCTCCGTTCCCAGTTCAGTAACCATAAAACTAAAGAGAATGTGTTTTGAAAGCATAAGTCTTGACATACACTATAAATTAATAAGTAGGGAATTCAAGTCTATAATTTTATTAGAAGTGCAGTATATTATTGCAGACATTAGTAGTTGCACTAGAATTAGCATTTTGACTTGGAGAGTTTGCATGTTGTATTACAGTTAATATAAGTTACTGAATATAAACCATTTGGTACTGATTGACTAGGAAGCACATATAAAGCCTACTCCAAAGTGAGCGAGTTTTGAATACAGATGATAAAGCCGTGTTACAAAACCAAGCACAAAGTGGAGAAGGCAGAGAGGTACATGCAGGGCCTAACACAGACACTCCAGCAGGTACAGAATCAGTAAGCTTTGAAATAATACAATGAATTGGACATTTCCACTGTATCAGTTCAAACTGAATTATACCATAGAACTGGGAGCTCGTGACATGAGAGTGTAATCTCAGAGTGGAGGTTTGTTTTTATCATTGTTTATTATACTGTTAATGAAAGTAAAACTTTTTTTTTTTCCCAAAGGAAGGGTAACATTACTCAAGCTGTCGATTCAAGTTTACGCTTTTTACTCACAACCACTCAGACTCACACCCGTAAAATCCACAAAGTCAGTGGAACTCACACCACGGGTGTGTTCTTCTGTATCCCCCGCCCAGTGGGAGAACAAGCCCAGCCAGTCGTCTCTGAAAAGAACTGCAGCTTTCACCCGGGGCTGTGAGTAGGCACCAGAGTATTTCAGAATAAAGAGCAGTGTGGCTGGGTCACATAAGATATTTTAGTCGGGTAACGTAGCTTATTTTCACAGAGTACTTGATCAATACACGGTCGCTACTGGTCTCTTTCAGAAAAACACCAGATTCAACTCGTTTACACATTTTGGCGCATAGTCATTAAAGGCAAACAATGTTTGGGTACAGAATTTAAATCAAGAGATTTTGTATTAAAACATTACAATGTATCAGTAAAACCACATGGAAACAGTAACACTGTTCTTGAATCAATAAAGAAAAGAGACACCACATGCAATTCCTGGGCCTAACAATGTCTTGCTATGACAGGGGGAGAGAACTGATCCTTTCTAGTCTTGAACAGAGAAGACTAAAAGAGGATTTGAGTATTCAAATTTGAAAATCAGGGGAGGCCTTTCAGACCATCTTACTCATTTAGGTTTCTGGGATTGTATTATTACAAGTATCTCGCTGAGGATTTTTAGGGTATCTCCTTCAACAGCATGGCTAGGCAACTTGCCCTAGACCCCCACAACTCTTTGTGTAAACAAGTAATTCCTGTCTTTAATCCTAAATGCACACAGCGGAATTGAAAGTACAGGTATATTGACACTGGCCAATGAAAACAAGATTACAACTAGTTTCTCACTCAGCAGTCTTATGAATTCCGAACACAAAAGACCAATTCGTCCCACCAACCAAGTTACTGGTATCAAGGATGTTCCAGAGTGGCAGTTTTTGGTACAGAACACACTCAGGGCTTTCACAAGAACTCACAGAAGCACACTGCTTACAAAGGGTATCCCTGGTTATGAACTATTCCTGCTGAAAAGGGCTAGTGATCCACTGTGAGGTGACTGTGGAGGAAGCATCAGCTACTTCGTGTCTCTTTCACCAATTTGCATAGATTCAAACACAAGATTGTGTTTTGGAAGAGGCAAAACAGCAAAAAAAGACTTCTAGCAGACACGTCCACAGCAAATAAGAATCAACGAGAGAAACTGCACACTCCAGAAATACTCAGACCGTCCAAAGGTAAAACCAAGATGTCAATAATACAAGTCAAGAAACTGCTCAATTCTTTGTTTTCTATTAAGTGTCAAAATATGTATATATTTACAGAAATGTAAGTAAAGAATAGGTTAGCTGTTGCCTGCAGCTTGAGACAATTCCACAGAAATGTGACTAAAAATGTCAGTTTAACTTCTTCAATCAAGCCTTTTTTTAAGCTTCTGAAAGGGAAACTCACATGTTGAGTTGTGTGTTGCTCTCTATTGCTGCCAACACAGTCCTGACCACAGAACTTGTGAGTGCCAGTGGCTCTTCTTCACACTGCTGGTAAGTTCATCCCATCATTTTTCAGTAGGGAACACTTCCAAACTCAGGGCTTTGTTAGCTGCTGCCTTAATGATTCGGAGTTTCATTTCAGCCAAGCCTGCAACTACTGAAAGGAACTATTCATTAAATTAATGTTAATCTACAAATCAGATCTTTCACAGTGTTCTCAAGACTGAAACCTAAGCTACTGATAAATAAACAAGGCAACGACTTAAAACAGCTGTTCTTGAAGTGAAAACCAAGAAGGAGTAATTATGCAAATTGTTCAGTCAACTAAGGGTTTGCTCAAACTAGAAAAGGGCAGTATTTCAATTAATCAACATAAACACACTGAATAATGAACCTTTACCCACTATGACATAATACAGAAGAATGGAATGATGTTGCTCTGTTACAAATGCACCTATTAGTTTTATATTAGTCTGTGCAGCAAAACAGAGGAAAATAGTCTCAAACCTTGTATACAGTAGTACCTGTGCACAAGAAACAGGAAAAACTTAAAAGAATTACTATCAATTAAAGAATTACTATCACTCTGCTTTGTGACCTACAATTTTGTATCCCTGACACTGCACTCCACCCACTGATCACTCGAGCACATGATGATTAATGATAGAATTAGCAAATTCCTCCAAATCTTAAATAAATGTGTACCTGTACCGTAAGTTATACAACCTTTTCCACAATTATTTAAACTTTTATAATGTACCACTTATATACGGGGATTCTGTACATAATATGTTCTGTTGCTAAATAAAAATGTTTTTAAAACCAGTGTCCCCTAATGAGTGAGTTGTTGGCCACATCCACTCTGATCAGTCCAGGTAGCTAGTGATTCAATGTTTCCTTTTACCTCCTAAATGGAGATACGTCCTTTGTGCAAATGTATTATTAGCCTGAATACTATTGAACTGCAGTGATAGTATGCAATACATTTTGCAATACTTTCAATATATATATTGGTTAGTCACCCAAAACCCTTTACATGTTTCTCATGGTAACTTACAGAATTGCTTAGTGTGAGAACTGTCATCCTGAACACACGAACAAACTATTTTATTTTGCTGCTCCTGGATTTGTACTGAGTATGAAAGGAGAAATGCACTGTGCTGGAATTTTAGGGAGGAGCATCCGAACAAAAACACTGTCAAGCCGGTTTCCCCTGCTTTCCCTGAATCCTGTTAAACACAGCGCAGGAAAGGAAGTTGCTGAGGAACCCGAGTGAGAGAAAGGCCGTGAGAGAACATGATTATTACCTGTTAGAGGAAGAGTTGGAGGTCCTAGGGCCGCTGGCCTCTGTATTTCTGCCTGTATTCTCCAGCACGAAAGAGGAAAGTTTGAATATAACCGGTGCAGCCCCACTCCACTGCCTTCAACAAGTCAGTGTGCTCTCCAGCAGCAAAGAATGCGGACACAGCCCTACTCCTGCCCTGCCCATCCGTCAACCTGGGCGTTTCTCTGTGCTTCTGGGTCCTAAATCACAGTTACTTTCACTTTTCACCAGATTCCTCCTGCACGGTTTCTCAGTCTGTTCACAAGACACCTCCTGCACGGTTTCTCAGTCTGTTCACCAGACACCTCCTGCACTGTTTCTCAGTCTGTTCACGAGACACCTCCTGCACTGTTTCTCAGTCTGTTCACAAGACACCTTCTGCACGGTTTCTCAGCCTGTTCACCAGATTCCTTCTGCACTGTTTCTCAGTCTGTTCACCAGATTCCTCCTGCACTGTTTCTCAGTCTGTTCACCAGATTCCTCCTGCAGTTTCTCAGTCTGTTCACCAGATTCCTCCTGCAGTTTCTCAGTCTGTTCACCAGATTCCTCCTGCAGTTTCTCAGTCTGTTCACAAGACACCTCCTGCACTGTTTCTCAGTCTGTTCACAAGACACCTCCTGCACTGTTTCTCAGTCTGTTCACCAGATTCCTCCTGCACTCCTTCTCACTGTAAACGTCGTTCACCTAAAAATACTGCAGGGCATTTAGAGGCGATCTGAACAGTTATCTGTAAAATGCAAAATCGTATCCATCCGTCAGTGTTATCTTAATGTTTTTCATGCATTCCAAAACTTGTAATTTGTTAACAGGAGACATTTTAGGACCTCTTCGTGCTTACCTCCTACAAACGGGCATCACACTGGCAGTCTGCTGCTGCGCGATGGCAGCGCTGCCACCTAGGTGCTAAATGGTAACACAGGCTGATAAAGGCTCGCACCCTGGTCCACCTCACCCCACATTCATGACGATGCATGCCGCAGCTTTACAGTGTTACTGGGCGGTGTCAGCTGGTCCGGAGGGAGAGGGTTGCTGTTATCTTCAGATCGCAGATACACAGCCGTGCTGCAGCATGCGTGGACACCGCTGTCCTCGAAGCAAACTCACTCGGATAAGCATGCAACTAAAAATGATGATGCGCTTCGACTCACAGCAACCATGACAGCGACTGCCCCAGTATGCCTTCCAAGAAGCACTGCTCCCTTCCATGGCCCTTTTATGACGTCGCTTCCCCCATCCCGGCCGCTGCTGTTTGTTTTTTTGTGTTGCAGCCGAAACCTCGATGCTCGATGAAGTTTCACGACATCTGCAGCGCTCTGCTCAGTAAACACCCGCACACCCGCCACGGGCACTTCCTGACTCCGCCCTCGCAGCTCCCACTTCCTGGGGTTGGCAGCACCCGCGCCAGATCACTCGACCGAAAGGAGTTGTACGTTTTGAAGCCGCTGCGCTTTTATGTAGTGTGCATGGACAGTGAACTTCAGTGAAATCAAGGCACGTTCCGTTTTGAAATCTGATTCATAAAATTGTGCACTATTTTAACAAAAATAACAGATGCAATAAACATTCAACATGTACTGAAGATACTCTATGTTCCTTGGCCTGACTCAGGGCCAGTGAAATACCCTAGGGTAAACTTGAGCTCTCCTGTCCCAGTGTCAATAACAGAGCTCTTGGGATCCCTTTATGTTTAAGGGTTCATCGTAGGACCCTGAACTACAGTCTGCCTAATCAGTACTCAGGGCTTGAACTTTGGGGCAGACCTTGATTTGCAGTGTTGTGGGATGTATTTAGGTAGACCAAGGTCAGTCATGATCAGTGACAATTGAACGATTGCTTAAAGTCCCCAATGCAATTGCTCATTCCTGTAGTACTACTGTATGTGCACTTACTACAGTATGTGTTCTGTACTGATCGCATATCCACGTGTCACACAACATGTTCAACGTTTATAAACATTTGTAAACAAAATGTTGGCACCTGTTAACATTTACACAAATGGTAGGCTGGTGGCATAAAAAATCATTATTACTAAAGCAGTTTAAGGTTAAGGTCAGTAGTAGAATAAACAAGAGGTTCCATGAGGCACTTTGTCCATCTAACATTGAATGAGACTGTCCAGCTGTAGGTCAGAAATATCCAGCGTCTCTGCAGACCTGTACCTCAAAACCACAAGAAATCAAACAACAGTCACAGGAAACAAAAGGGATTAGAGTGACTTTATAATAAATATAAAGAAAAGAAAATTACATGTGTAACAGTCGTGCAAAAAAGTACAAGAAAGGTGTCAATCGCTAGGTCAGTCTCAACAGACTCACATCGGTACAGTTTTTCAAATTTTAAATACTTGTCACAAGCTCACATAGAGCCTATTCCCGGATTTCTCATTCGCCGAAATCTCGGTAACTCTTCCCCCAGCAGGCTCGGCATCATAGTTGCTCCTATTTGTCAAAGGAGCCTTTATCTCCCAGCATGACCCCGGACAGAGAATCATGCTTTGATTGCTAACCTTTGGAAATTTTAAATGCTTTCCCCAAATTGATTGTTTCTGCTTTTTTTTTTCTTTCTTGTGCAAAATGCCTTGATCTTTTTTAGCTAAAAAGAACCAAAAGGGTTCCCCTTCTTTTACTAAACTGCCACCAAAGTAAAGCTATAAATTACAAATGTAATATATACATTTATTTTTGACCACTGCCAGAGGGGACTGTGGCTCTCCATGACCAGGCCTGGGTCTATATATTTATTCTGCTGAATTATTCCCATCCCAGAAAAATTTCTGAAAAAAAGACAAGGAGGAAGCACAGGGACTTTGCACAGAACATGTACGTTCGAGGAAATGGCTCACAGTAGCAACCTGCCAGCCCAGGAGTGTTGAGCAAATTTTTAATAAGGTATACTTCAAGGCTAGCTATTGTGCCACGAAAACATGCAAGCTGAAACCACAAGGACTCCCTAATAAGACATTACTACAGAGGCACTAACTGATGTATTAAAATAGGGACCCTCTGACAGAATGGATTCAGCCAGTTTCTTCACAGCATCTCTGGCATCACCAGCATCTATGTCAGGCTGTGTACAGGACCAAGACGTGCTCCTGGGCAATTCTCGTCAAGATGGTTCATTTTAATATATCAAGGCTCATAAGAGGAGCACACAACACCTATTGTGTGCCCCTCTTCCCACCCCCCATTAAGACATAAAAAGTGGACCTCCTATGGTACCAACTCTGCATCACGAAGAGGACTGCCAAACCACTCTACCAACCCCCCCACGTTATTCTCATTTTGTTCTGTTGACTTAATTTATTCCAACTTTACCGAGAGCCCCGTTATCACACATCCACAACTATCTTTTTGCTTTCGATATAGTCTTTGTTTCAAAATCAAGACACCACTAATCTGTACACTGTTTGAGCGGATCATGATATCTTCAGCCTGTGAAATATACTGCAGCTTTTGAAAGAATATTAGAGGAATCTTCATACAGGGATGGGGGTACTATAGGGGCAGATCCTGTCTGTGGAATGCTTGTGGAGAGCATTCCAAGCTATCACAGGAAGTGTGACTTTGCAAAATTTAAGACTCATAACCATTTTCACTATTCCTTTGGCAATAAACATGAGAAATACTGCAGCTGCAGCAAGCTGCAATGAAACAGAATGACAAACTACTTACAGTTATCATCTGCTTCTATACTTCTTAAAACTGTAAAACATCTTCCTCAAGGAAATTCACTAGTGTGCCAAACTCCTCAAAACTTCAGGGTTAAAGAGGTGGAATACTCATATGAGGTTTTGTTTTCTGAACATATCAACACTGTTCGGTGCCGAATATCAACCCAATCTAGCAGCAGCTTTAACAAAGTGTCAATTTATACCAGTGCAGCTGGGGACACTTAAGTGCTCTAGCACTGAAGTCAGCTGAGACCGTCCGAATTGTCCATCCCAGCATTCCGCAGCTGCTGTAACAGGACTGTCTTTTTCCACAATGCTCATTGTACCAAAAAACAAGTTTTGTAAATAAACACCTCAGGGATGTGCTATCTCTGAATATTGCTCATCGAGACAAAATACGGGACTAGTGTCACTCTAGGCACACTAAAAATGCACAGTATACTTACTGTAGCCAAACAATGAGAGGTATTTATTTCAATCGAAAGGTCTGAGGTACTGTACAAATGCAAAGTGTGAGGATGCTGAGCTTTTAATTACTTAATTAACATGGACCATACAGAAGGTCCCTTCTCTCTGAACTCAGAGGTTCTGAAGGATGTCAAGTCAGTAGCAACCACGCTAGGAGCCACTGAATAACGATTTCCACTTAGAAGTCCCCTGGATTTAGTTCCAGGAGGGGTAGCAGTGGTTTTTGTTCAACGGGACCATGGAAGCAAAAACACACTGAGCCTTCACCTCCAGGAAGCAGATATGCCAACCGGATATGCTTCCTCTCTCTTTCAGCATCAAAGGGTTAAGGCAGAAAGTCCCTTGTTCTGAGGTCAGTGCCACGCTGCCACCGAAAAAAAACCCACTGTTATTTGTTTTAGGATTTAAAAACAGTTGAAATAAAGCTAGAAGAGTTGCCAAGGTAATTATACAGGACCACCCCAAAAGATGAGCCTTTCATGCTGACCCACACGATTCTGGTTTCCTAGCCTTTCCTGTGCCATTAAGGATTCCACAGAATAAATCTGCTGGGTGAGGAAAGGCAGATCAAGACTTCGTCTTTTGCGGACAGCTCCATTGAAAACTGCACAAATGCAGACATAAAAAGATAAGACTCGGTATTCAGCTTAAAACGAGACAAATGTCCTCCCAGTGGGGAAGGTATGATTACTTTGGCAAAGATCACGTTTGGTTTCAGTCGGGTTTTTTATCGTAAGAATTAGACCCAACTGAGAGGGGCCAGCTGGCGGTGGCTGTCCTGTTCCGAGCGGCGGCGCGGGCGCACTAGGGTAGGAGCTGGCACAGCTCCTCGTCGCTCAGCTCGTTGACGGAGACGATGTGGTCCAGCTGCTGAAGGTAGCGCTCCTGGTCCTCCATGAAGTGCGGGATCCGAGTCTTCCCCAGGACCGCAAACTTCCTTAAGTGCTCCACATCCTCGTAGGACACCTTCGGGAGCCAGGAAGGAGAGAGAAGGATCCACATGAACTCCGCATGAAGTGCTATAATCCACACAGAACCCCATACAATTTGAAGGCATCTTCCAAACTAGCTCTCTTTTAATATTTACTTTCAGATCCAAAAAAACCTTAATGACGTGCATTTCCAAAAGCGCTTTTCGTAAGCTGTTCGACTCAAACCAGTACCAGTTCAGTACCTTTCCAATCTTCTGATAGATGATAAAGATGCTAGTATCAGATTTCATAACGGCCCTTTTTGTTCAGAAGTACCAGAGAATATAAGAAAGACAAATTTCTTGACCAGTTTGTTAACAAGACGTGCAAGGCAGGCTGCAGTACTTTGGTACTGAGGACTGAAACTATTTAAAAGATGGTACTTAAGAGTGGCCCTCCAGTAACAGCTGAAGTCTTAAACACTAGTGCCCAGATCTGGTGCATCTCTTCAAACTGCGGCGTCACAACGTGACAATTCATGCTTTACTGTCTACAATTTACCGTTACATCAAACAAACTTCCATTTTCAGACTGATGATGTCAAAGACTCATAGGTTTTGCAGAGGTGAAAGTGTAACTTATACCTCCCTTTTATTCAAAGCAGTTTGTAGTCATTTTTGCACCAGCTGAGCACTCATTTTGTCCTGTACACAGACAAGAAAAACCTTCTCCTTCTGAGAAAAAAATCAATTTCCTGGTTAAGGTGCAATTTTCTTTTGTTTTTTTCGGAAGTTGTCAAATAATTGCTTTTGATACTCTGCAATTTACATAAAATGACACTTTCCACAAACCTATAACACAAACGTCTTTTGAGTAACAAAGATCAGTTAGCATTAGGGGGCAATACCAAACAGCCCCATTTACACCCCTTCGTTGAGTTTCGACGCCTTGACCTCAACATCCTAAAAACGCAAATCTGACCTTTCTGGCCTGAAAAAAAGTACCAAGTCTGGTGTAAATCACCGACAACTGGGTTTAAAATTGAACGTTTCACGCTGTTCATCATAGAACAATCCCACAATGTTCATGTAAAAGACTGTGTGCCGTGAAAGCATCAGACTTCCACTGACCTTGCCCAGAGACACCAACATTTTGAAGTCAATAGTCCTCCGATGCCGCAGGATCCTCAGAATGCCATCCAGGTACACTTGATCCTTACTGAAACACCCTGGAGGTGTACAGGAAAGACAGCAGAGTGACAGAGCACCACACAGGAGAGATCAGAAGAGCAGATAGGTTACAAATGAGAGGGGTCCACTCAGCCTGTCTCTCTAATTGAGCTGCACACTGGGGATAAAGAACTGCTTCCTGTGTCCAGCAATAAATGCACATCCTTTTAATTTATACGTACCTGCGTCCTCATGTCTGTGTTTCACAATTGATCTAGAAGTAGTAATCTGGGTTGAATTCGGGTTTTGGCTATTTTTACATAAGGTACTTGTATTAAGTTGCCTCCCACATTGGCTCTTGTTAAATTTGATCTTTGAAGTGGTTGCTATTACTTTCAGGAAAGGGGAGCACAGTGAGCTGCGGACCCAGATGCAGTGAAAAGCACTCTCTCTGTGCAATCGTGAACGCTGGGAACAGGACACAGGGCAGAAGGGCACCAGAGCCCACCACTCACTGTTAGGTCATGACGGGAGACCAGCTGCCTAGCTCATGAGCCAGCACAACCCACAGTCACCCATGAGCCTAAGGCTTTGGGAAGTGGGAGGTAAATGGAGCAGCTGGGAAAACCCCCCATGAATAAGGCAAGAGCGTGCAAAACCTCCATATGGACAAGAATCGAACCTGTGACCCTGGAGCCACCATCACACTGCAAATATCTAGAGCCCCTTCTGGCCACTGCCCTGCATTTACCACGCTTCCTTCAAAGCTCAAAACTAGGCTCATCATCCAAATATCGGCCTCATCTTAGCAGACACCCTCATCCCTATTCCGTAGGATTTACACTACACAAATATGTACAATATAAAATCAGTGGCTCCCACAAGAAACACCTATGGCAGACAATGGCCTGACTCTTGTGCTTGATTACAGCCTGCAATCAGTGTGAAAGTGGATTCCCCAGATGTGCTTGGGGCTGTGCTACCTGGGGGCAAGCAGTGATTTAGTCATCCTGGGCTGGTGCTGCTTACCCGGGCGAGAGGTGTCCGTCTGGCCCCTCTTGGCCCTCACGCAGTACTCCCAGCGCACGGCGGGGTCGTGGACGAACTGGCTGATGTGGCCGAAGAGCTGGCTGAAGCTCATGTGGCCGGCGTGGTAGACGGTGAAGTAGAGGAGCGCGGCACGCCACAGGAAGGGGTGGCGGCGGAACAGCACGCTGTGCAGGCTGGCCAGACCCTCCTCCGTGGGGTTGGCCGGCTTCAGGCCGAACTGCTTGCGCCCGGCCGCGCTGTGCCAGGGCTGCTGGCTGTTGTTCACCCCCCGGATGTAGTGTGTCCCTGCACAGGTCAGAGGTCAGAGGTCACAGGGCATCACACTGGGGGGTATGGTGCAAAGTCCAGCTTCTAGGTGGGTGCCTGGCTCTAAACACTTTAGATCTTTATAAATTGGCTGGATGAATGCACATTCTCCCTATTTGTCAAAACTAAATATAAGTGACAAACTGGCTGTATTGTGTTTTCCCAGATACATCTTTGATTTCCTTCTTCTATAAGTTACTGCCCTATAAAAACAACTTGGACTCATTGATTACTTTTTCTGTTGTTATCATTATGTAAGTAGTCCCTGAAATGTTCAGAGAGACGTCAGGTGTCCGTCTGTGCCACCCCGCGATAATGAGAAGCTGCACGGGCAGAGAGGCGGGTGAGGGGAACGGTACCGATCTCGTGGCGCAGCATGCCCTCCAGCCAGTGCTGCCGCGCCCCCGCCAGGTTGATGGTGAGGGTCGGCCGGCAGCTCTCCACCATCATCACCGCCTGGGACAGCAGTTCCTCGGACAGGCGCACCACCACCTGATGGGGGGACACAGAGACAGACAGGCAGGCTGCCGTGAAGTCTCTGCACTGGCCCAGAGCTGCGACCACTTTTATTTCTCCGGCTCCTGTGTGTGGCAGCATTCATTGTCAGTGGGGTGATAAGAGAGGCTACTTTACATAAAGCATTTCCCACACCTCCTTCGGAGGTCAAAATGAGGCTCATCATCAAATTACTGTCCCCATCTTAGCAGACACCCTTATCAACTATTCTGTAGCACTTACAATACACACATATTTACAGTGAAAAAATCTTCAGACTCTTCGTACACCTTTATATATTTCTAACACAGGCTAATAGGATTCAAATTGTTGAAAAGCCTGGAAAAATGCTAAACCAGGCAATGGTCTATGTAATTATGTCTAGCAACAAAGGAACGTGGGCATGAAAAAGTGCAGGGAATTCACAAAACTGTTGGAATTTCAATAACAAAGCAAATTTCAGCATCTGCGGACAGTCATCCAGGATGCCACTTCATATCCTCGTGTTAAAAAGACCTATTGAGAAAATTTATGTACAGTATTATCACGGAGAATGACCAGAGGGCTACCAGCAGCAAAAGTAAATTTCTCATCCCTTGCTCAACAGTAAAATCAATGTTCAGACAATAAACTGGTTAAAAATGTGCTTATAGAGCTCTTAACTAGTTCCTTGTATTTTCTAGATCAGTGCAGCACTATTTCGAATGATACAAAATCTGGTTTCAATGCCTGGCTACAATGGAACCATTGACTGAGAGAAGTCTCTTAAGAAGGGAGACTCCCAGTCAGGGATGAAAACTCCTGACCAAAGTACAGAACTGAATGGTTTTATTAGCATAAATATCTCCCGGCACACAAGAAGGATAAGTAGTGTCGCCACCCTGTCACCTGATCTCGTCAGATCTCAGAGGCTCAGCCCAGTTGGGCCTGGTTAGTACTGAGATTGAAGAAAACCAGGCTCCTGTTACTGGTGGTGTTGGTGGACCAGTAGATGGTGCTCTTTCCTCTGGATCAGAATGTTCAAATCAAAGCCTTAATATGGGGGTGGGTACGCTCTTATATAACCTTATATTAAAAGTGATCTGGGGTGACAAACACTATATTAAAAGCAAGGAATCACTGGTATAAGCCTTTTGACACTTCCGCCTGGACTAAAGCCTCTGTAGCAGACAGACAGCCCTGCTGGCGGAGAGCAAAGGGCACTGCCAGTAAGCCTCACCTCGCCCACACAACCCTCCTTCTGCAGGTATTTGCGCACCGCTGACCAGACACGGCTCTTGGGAAGAATGCTGCCCCCGGTGGCCACCTCAAAACTCTCATAGGATCCATACTTCTGGAGGACGCACTGCATGATTCGCACAGCCTGCACAGGAACAGACGGCACAGACACAGCTGTCACAGCTGGCGAACTGCAGCAATACTGAGGCACTGTCCACTGGACAGGGTGAAAAGAAGACTAAAATCATGGGGATTCATTGTTAGCACCATATTAGTTTTCTTAACCCTTCGATTAAGGGCTGGGATCAGTCTGGACTGGGCTCCTTAAGATCTGGACTCCTGTATTTTCTAGGGCACCTGCAGACTTGCAGTGATGTCAGTGAGTCACTGTTTCCGATAGGCCGGTGGTTCAGAAGACAAGCCAGCCCTTCATTCTCCCACTGTGGGTGCGGGGGAGGTTGCACCCAATCTAAGACGATTATCAATTCCAAATTGGAGGAAAGAGGTGTGAGACTAAATATACATACAAAAGGGATTCAATAAGTTCACAGTCCTCGACCCAGTGCATTTGAACTCTTAGGAAGCTATATCCTCAAATATCCTACCAGTCTGAATTGCATAAAACATGCTTCTGCTAACTGTTTTGAGTTTTCTTTTTCTTGCTACCAGCCAAATGAGAGGAAGCTTTAACTGCATGTTCAGGCACCGCAGAAAGATTCCTGCCCCTCAGAGTTTCACTGAAGGCTGCAGTAGGGCCTGTCCTCCAGTCTGGGCTGATCAGAGACAGAGGACTGCAAGAGAGTGATGTGCTCACTCTGCAGTATTTCTAAAGGGAGATGACTGTTTTAATGAAGTGCTGGTGTCAGAACAGTGAACCCCCCACTGTAAAATAAATCTTAATGGCTCAAAGTGACTACTTTATCAAAGATATCTGCATTCTAGATATCTGACATTCTAGCTTGCAAGTCTAGTTTCTTTGGTATCCTGTGTAGATCAGAATATAATTTGCCACCAAGAGTGATGTTTTCTTAATGCCCAAGACACTTGGAGACCAGGCAGCTTTTTAAACTTGCCATGCAACCCCAAGTAATGAACACATAATTATGCCTTTTCTCAAACACACCTGGCCGTTTCATTACTGTTCAGTGATCCTGAGGTTCACCACTCCTGCCACCTAGTGGACTGAGTGAACAACTGATGCCCGGTTTTACCGATTGTATCTGAACCGAAATCGCAAGTCAGTCCAACGCTTTTTATTAACCATGACCTGGAGGTGTACAGCGCTTTGTATAATCTGCGTGGGACTGCACAAAGCAAGCAGCGAAAGGAAAGGTTTGTGTTAGTGACTGGCCGGCGCTGGCAGGGGGACACACCTGTGACAGGAACTGTCCCGAGCCCTCGCAGTACTTCTCCAGCACGCTGGTGGGCTGGGGCTCGGCGTACTCGAACTGGGGCTCGTACTGAAACCCCGACTGGAAGAAGGCCTCGCGCTCGTGCTCGATGTTGACGGGGCGCAGGGCCACGAGCAGGCAGGTGGCGCGCGGCCCCGTTGGCGTGGCGGGCGGC